CTAATATGCACCATTTCTATGTTATCACAAACCACCTATAGCATAGTCATTTCATATGAATAAAATATGAAAAAACATAGAAGTATATTTGGTAGTATAGCTTGATCTTTTTATCCTTTTTTTTTGTTCTCTCCAAGTTTCCCTAGTTTTTAATCAAACTATCCAATAAATAATATTCAAAAATGTTTTTTCTTTTAGAGATATTCAAATGGATTAAAGAACTGCCCCAATAATAAATATTCTAAGTTTAATTGGATAGAGCTCGTTCGAGCTTGAATAATCTTTGAATCTAGTTACCATAGCCTTATCCTTTTTAATTTAGGGGTCCTTCTCATTACTTTGAAGTAGTTTAGCAACTAGTATTTCACCTAGAGATAATATTAATTAGCTTTTCTAACTTTAAAACAAAGAATAGTATATATATTACAAAAATGACATAAATAGAATGAAAAAGGGATGATATAATAGGAAAAGGAAGGAGTGTTTAGTATATATTAATTGGTGAGATAAATTACATATATATAGGAAAGGGTTGAAACATGAGATACGTGGTCCTCGAGGCAGGGAAGAATTTCTCCAAAAACATTCTTTTAAGATCATCCTAGCTGGTGATGGACTTGGGGGCTAAATAATATAGCCAATCTTTAGCAACTCCCTCCAATGAGTGTGGAAATGCCTTCAAGTAAATATGGTCCTCTTGAACATCAGGAGGCTTCATGGTAGAATAAACAATATGGAACTCCTTCAGATGTTTATGTGGATCCTCACCTGCATGACCATGAAACTTGGGCAACAAATGAATTAGTCCAATTTTAAGCACAAAAGGAACATCTTCCTCAAGATATTGAATGCACAAACTCTCATATGTAAAATCAGGTGCAACCATCTCCCTAAGAGTCCTCTCACGGGGTCCATTATAAGGTTGCTCACCCATGTTTTCTGTTTGAATTAAATCGACCTCAGATGCAACACTTACACTATGATTATCACTATAACTATCTAAAGATGGAATGATATGCTCTCTAAGTAGTCTATGGAATGTCCTATCAATCTCAGGGTCAAATGGATGCAAAAAGCCTGGATTGCTCCTAGTCATGCACTACATGCAACACATGCATTAGGACACGTGAACAGTAGGGGTCAAATGGGAATTTCCATGACAACTTAGAAATGATTAAAAATAATGCACCAATATCGTCCTAAAATCATTAGAAACTACCACAAAAAATTTCAAAGCAAAATTCAAATCCTAACTATATAAACCACTTATGAAAAGTTTAGAAAAATAGGGAAATAAAACTTCAAAATTAGAAGAAAAAAAATAATAAACGACCTTTTTCATAGATCTTTTTTTTTCTACCCCAAATGCATATATAATATGTCCAATTCTGATAACTAGAGGAGTAATAGAGGCAAAAAATAGAGTATGCCTAAGTGAAACAGAGCATGCACGAAATCAAAACGGAGTTACTCTAACAATCTACGTAAGAAACAACATCAAGGATTTTATGCTAACAACAAGACCACTTGTTTTACTTTAAAATTACAAAACAATTATTGGCGAGAGAGAAGAAAAAAAGAAAAATAGTGTAAGATGAATGAAATTGTGGGTCTCTAATTTATTATAAGGGACCAAAATAGGTTTTTAGCCAAAAATTTATTTAAAACATGAAATTAATTAGAATGGTGTTTAAGGATTTTTTTCTTAGAAAAAAAAGAAAGAAAAGGGGCATAATTATAATAAAAAAAGGAGGTGTATATATTATAAACAAATTATTTACTTGTAAAATGAATCTTTGAAACTAAATGTTTAAAATTCTGGGGGGAAAAAAAGATGAAGGGAATGCGTGTGAACGGGATGAGTGTTTGAAAAAAAATAAACAGTGGAACAAGAAAGGGGAATCCGTGTTTGAGAAAAAAAAATTGAAAGTTGAGGACATGAGAGTTATAAAATAGAATAAATATATTATAGATATTTTGAAAATAAAAATGTATAATACAAGTCTATTATTAATGTAGTGGAGATATATATATCATAATTCATGAGCTTAACGATTATTAGTAAGGGTAAGTATATGACCTTATTCGATCTGTTTAAGACTTAACCCCTAAAATTCTCATTTTTAATGAAGTGGATAAATTTGGTTTGTAAATAAGTTGTTCAAAATAATTTGGCTCACATGCATTCCATGAAACTTACATATAAATAGGCTAGTTTGTGGGTCCAATGAAAATTTGGAATTTTATTTCAAAAAATAAAATTATATCAAATTCAAGAGGATTTTTTCTTTATTTTTTTAATCTATTGAAATGTGAGAAAGAAAATTAATACTTTAAGAAAAGGAATATAAATATATTTATAAACAACATTAGACAATTAAATAAAAATTTAAAGTCTTAACATATCCATATTTACACATTCTAACAAAAATATTAAAATCTTAATGTCTTAAAATTTAAAGACCAAATACACTAACAAAACATCAAAATTTTAAAGCTTAATGTCATAAAATTTTAAAAATGAAACTAAACTAATTAAATATCAAAGTTTTAGTGTCCTAAAAACAAACATTATTAAGTTTGAATATTAATTAGGCTGGCTTCCAGGTTCCATAAATTAAACCAGCCAAGTCCACATATTTGGCCAAAATATCTGCTATGATCATATTTTTTTTTTTAGAAAAAAAAGTTTATATCCAAGTCTCATATAATCACCTCTATTTATTGAATTTATTAAGGATTAATTATATTAATTTTATATTTTAATTTTTTTAATCATGATATTGATATAAAATATTTACTGTCAGATACTGTAGATACACACAAGATAAATATTTTTCTTGTAATATAATTTATTTCATATCTAACAATATGATTCAAATCCTGAATAATTTTATTAAGAGACATAAGTTACTACTATTTATCTCAATAAATTTTAATATTTCATATTCCAAATAACCATCATGAAATGAAACATGAAAAGAAAAGGTTCACGAATTTCTCAACCTCTATGACCCGTAAAAAAGAAATTATATTTGTTTAACTAAATTATATTTTTATCTTTTATTTTATTTAATTTGCTCGATTTATCATTCCATTGTTAAAATGTTGGATCTGATTTTATAATTTTAAAAAACGATCCAATGTGATTTTTTTTATTAATCAAGAGTAACGATGCTAATTTCTTATATTCATGGTACAATGTACAAAAATTTAATATCGTTAATTTCAATTGGATAAAATAAATTATGTTACATAATTTTTAAAAATTAAGAAATTAAAATGAACTTGCTAATAATAAAGGAATCAAATTAAACTAATTAAATAAAATAAGTTAAAAAAAAGTAATTTAAATTATTTATTTTTTTCTTGTGTATAAACTAATTAGATTATTGAAGCCATACCGGTTACTTCTTCTGCAACCATACTATTAATTAATAAATTAAGTATTAATCCAAATATGATTTTTAAAGCAAATATTTTAAAAATAAATAACTTTTAACAAAAAAACAATGCTTTTAAGACTTGTAAGTAAGTTGAGAAAATCCTAAAAGGGGAATGAGATTTTTTTTAATAAGCAAAATAAATTTAAATTAAAAAAAAGTATAAGAAGTACTCCAACCCGTTACAAGAAACACAAAGACATAATTAAAAATTAAAAACCAAAGTAAAAACTATGAAAAACATAAACTCGAGTTATAATACTAGTTAATATAACTAAAAGAACATCCAGAAATAAAACTAGTTACTTGAACAATAACAAGAAAAAAAATTGTTACAACTCAATAGTATTAATTTTAAAGACTAATAATGTTACCTAATCAAAATATTAAAAAAAAATGTACAGCTGCTGAGGTGTTGTTGGTAAGCCAAGCCAACCCAGAAATTTGAAGAAGGGGATCTTATTCATAGGCAATAATACCTTGTGCTAAGCCCCACATGACATTGGTCCATTACCACTACCCCTCCACATTACCAACCTAAACAACATCCACTTTACCTTCAAGTTTCAACCACACGTGTATAATGCTGTTTGAAAAAAAAATGTAACAGACAAAATACTCATTTCTAACTTGTAAGTTGGAACTCTGAAAAGCTTATACTTTTATACACAACTCCCCATAAAACTCTCACACACACTCTCTCTCTCTTTATATATATATATATATATAATTTTTAATTTTGTAATTTTGATTCTTTTATTAATAATTAAAATTATAACTTTTATTATAGTCTAACATTAAATAAATAATGTCATAATTAATATTTAAAAATATTGTGTTAAAAATTTCACTTTAATCTTATTTTTATATCATAAAAGTAACAAAATAAAATAAAATGGAATAAAAATAAAAATTAAAAATATAATTTAACTTAAATATTATTAAATAGTAATTATTATGTTATCCTTTTAATATTAAATCATGACTAATATTATAATTTTAGTGAACAACAAATAAAATTTCAGTAAATGCATAAAAATTGTAATTTTATAAAATTAAAAAATTAAAATTGTGGATTTCATATAATAAAAAAAAAACTAAAGATAGAATTTAGCCTAATATATAATAGTAATACAAATTTAAATAAATTTTTAGTTTCTTTCTCATATATATATATATATATACTTATACTTCCAAAGTTATCTTTTTTTCTAATTTTTAATGTAAAAAAAAATATTTTAATCTTGTTATTCAAATGTCATTATTTTTAATGAATCTATCAAATAAATTTTTATATTAACAAATTTATCACACAAAATTCATTCATTAGTAATCTTATTAATTGGATCCAAATAATTAATTTGATGAATTTAAATTTAAATTGTTCGGAGTGTTTGAGTTCAATTTTTTTTCTTTTTAGAAACAATCCTTAATCAAAATTTACTTACTTCCAAATTGAGTCGGATTAGTATAAAGAGAAAGAAAAAAGAAAAAAAAAATGTAGGGTCCACTTAAGAACTTTGAAAAAAATTCCTGAGATAAAATGCTCTAACGCTCATTCTTTATTCATCTCTTTCATTCTCTCTGCCTCAGACAGAAATAGCCCATCAAGCTCATTCAATTTACCTAAAATAAATAATTTTCTCTTGCTATGGCTCTTTTGTTGTACTTTGTGCTTTTCCTGACCCTCACTGGCCATTCCAGTAAGCACCTGCACTAATTTCTGTGCGCTTTTTAGTTTCATAAAGACTCTTTTTTAAGTTATGAAATAACTCATCCTTTAATTTTCTGAGGTGGGTTCTTATGATCAGTTGCAGTTTCCAACTTTGTCCTCTGCTTCAATTCTGGATATTTTGTGAGGGGGGACTTTTCTACTGTTCTGCTGAAAGATGAAATTGAAAGACTTAAGAGAATAATTTTAAAGGGCTAAAAGAAAATCTAAATAATATTTTTTTTTTACCTCTTTTGTGCAGGAAAAAAAAAAATATATGCTTCTTATGTGGTGTGAGTTAACTGTTTTTTCTGTTTCTGGTTGATTTGTTCTGCAATAGGTGCTCTTTACTGTTTATGCAAAGATGGTGTGGGTGATCAAGCTCTTCAGAAAGCAATTGATTATGCTTGTGGGGCTGGAGCTGATTGCACCCCAATTCTCCAAAACGGGGCTTGTTACCAACCCAACACTGTGAAGGATCACTGTAACTATGCAGTTAATAGCTATTACCAGAGAAAGGGTAATGTTCAAGGATCATGTGATTTTGCAGGTGCTGCCACAACCAGTGCAAATCCACCTAGTGAGTGTACTTCCAACCCCACCTGATTTTGACACATATTCTAGAATTTCACTTTTGGTAATATTCTTCTCTTCCTTGTGTGTCTTTTCTACAGCTACATCATCTGGATGTGTCTACCCCTCAAGTCCTGGGTATGTTTCTTCATTGTACCCTTATTTGATTTTTTTGTTTTGTTTAATTTGTTATGCATAAAGTGAATTGGATAAGTTCTCTGGAAATTCAAGGAATTTTTAGTGTATTTTGAGTGCGAGGTTGGAGTTTTGAGGAAAATTGCTCTGTTGAGTGCTTCTACCCTCTATTAAACCATTCTTTTTTGTACAGAGAAATGTAAAGGTCATATTTTTACCCAGTTTTTCTATTTTGAGTCTGTTTTTCCAGTTTCCATTTTTTTACTATGAGGTGATTGGAGGCATTGGTCATTTTTACTCTATTTCATGTCTAATTTTCACTTAGCATATTCTGAAAGGTATTTCTAAAATTAAAAACTGGGGTTCATTTGTTTTAATTTCAAAACTGGCAATGTGGCCCTGAAACTATTTTGTTTTATACATTAAAAAAAAAAAAAAAAAAACTTTCTTTTTGGTTTATGTACCCACCTCCTTGAAGGGGAAATTCTGAATTAATTTTTTTGCAGAGAAATTATCTTGCTAGCCATGTCATGTCCTGCTTATTCTGTTGAAATATGAGCTGGCATAATTTGGATGTTTCACAAATATTTCCTAGGTCTATTATACCCGTGTATAATATTTAATGGCTTATATAGCATTGAGTACATAGTTTTGTAAATTTTATCATTTAATTTCTATAATTAAAGACATTATATTTAGTCTTTATATATATAATTTCTGTTTTCTTTTTCTTTTTCTTTGTTGTCAATTTGCAATAAAGGCTTAAAAAGAAAAGTTTATAAAGTTATGAAGGCTAAAAGAAAAAAAAAAAAAAAAAAAAAATATATATATATATATATATATGTATGTATACTATTAAAAAACTAAAATAAAATGTTTTTAACTATCATCTTTTTATTTTACTTCACAAGGCCTATTATATATTCTGATCTCTCTTTTTTGGCTCTCTTGCAGCAATGCCAGCACAACACCATCAACAGGTGCACCTCCTGGCACAACACCAACAACTCCAGGCACAGGCACAACTTCTGGTAGTCCTAATGTGTTTGGAATGAGTCCACTGTCTCCAACTACAACTAGTGTCAACAATAGAGCTAACTTGGAAGGCACCAATGCTAAGTTACTATTGTTTCTCTTTGTTCTAACCTTGTGTTTAGCAATCAGGGTCTAGAGTTACAGTGCCACCACTGGACTAGGAAAAAGTTTGTGGGGTTTTCATGTAATTTTACTTCTTGGAGTCATCCACAAGCAATTCAAGCAAACCCGGTTTTGGTGTTTTTTCTTCCTAGTGAAAAAAAAAAAAAAAAAAAAAAAAAAAAAAAAAAAAGGGCATTTGGTTCCTTCTTTAGTTGTGATTTATTTTGATTATGAGTTTATGACTCTTATAATGGGGGGTTGGAAATAGAACCAGAGTTGATCATTTTCCTCTTGGCTTTTTCTCCATTTGTACATCTAAGACTATGAGAGGCACTATTTTTTAATTTAATGGAATCCGGCTACCCCATATATAATCTTTTTTATTCATCATTCAATTTCATGTTAGCTGCCCCTCAAATAATTTTTGTTTTTCAACATTGTACTGCTTGATTTGCATTCGACGCCATTGTTCATTCATTTTCTATAGTTGTTGTGCTTGATTCGTGAGACAAAGTGTTGGGTGTACGTAGCCTAATTAAAAATTCCTAGACTATATTTTTAGTTTTTCATTTTAAATTAAATTACTCTTTTGGTCTCTCTTTTGATTCAATTGATTTAATTTGGTCACATGTAATGACATATGTCATATTTTTTATGGTGTGTAGTATATAAGATATTAATGTTGTTAATCTAAATTGGACAAAAAGGTAATATTGCATCATTTTTAAAAATTAACAGATTAAATATTTTGATAATAAAAGGATCAAACAAAATCAATTAAATAAAAAGAGACAAAAGAATACTTTAGCCTTCAGTTTAAACATGGATGACTGCAACTTTAATAAGATTTTTAATGTTATTTTGAGGTATATATAACTATATATTCTCTTATTATTTAACATATTTCATTTTTAAAATTTATGCATTTTTTATTTGTCTGGATAATTAGGGGCTGTGGTACTTCTTTCTACATTTTGAGGCTGCAAGCGTTTTTTGAAAATTCCAAGTAGCCAAAAGAAATGTGCATATTAAAGAAAAGTAAAGGTGGTTCTAAGGTCTCTGTATCAATAATACGATGTCACTAGTGAATTTTCTATCCCTTTCTCTCCGCTGTGGCGTTTCATTCATGGTGTGGAACAATTTTTCCCTTGGACGTAATTGCTTCTAAAAGTCAATAACAACCAAGAATACTTTAGTTTACATAATGACATGCATAGCCGACAAATCTGAAATAAAAAATACCACATGCTTTCATCGGCATTTTTTAAAATTGCAAAAGAAATAGGGAAATAATACTAAAATGTACTTAAAACTAATTTTTGTATCTAAATAAATCATGAACAAACATAGCTAGTTGATAGAGTGCTTTTTTATATAGAAAAAAGTCTTATACATAAAGATGTTACTTATAATTAGAGAGATTAGTCAGGTGAAAAAAAATTAATATTAGCTCAATAGTTTCATGATTTTTTTTTCTCTCTAGATGATGTGCATGATTTTAATACCACCAAGAAGAAGAAAAAAAGAAAAAGAAAAGATGTTGTGCATGATTCCTCCACTAAATTGAGGTTGGTAGCTTAGAATGATTCCTTCGAATTTCCAACCTGTTTGAGACTATGTAACTTATTTGTACAACAAGCCAGAGAATAATTTAACTAAAGGTAGACGAGACAAGCCTAACTCACAGCAATTTGTACATTTTGCTATCTTACCAATCAATAATCATGTTGCCAGTTGCCACCGTCACAAACATTTTAAATGACCGATTGCTTTCATGGGGAGGTCGTTTCATCCAAATTAATGACATAAAAAATGGAGTGTCATTCTCAACAAAATCTTGATGAAACAACTAATAAGAATTATCTCTTAACAATACGTAAGCATTGAAATTGATATTCCAGAATATGAATTATCTCTAAACATTAATGCATTGAAAGTTGATATTCTTCAATATGGCGTGTTTTAGTATTTTGGGGTCAACGAGTATAACTCATCAACATTCAAAAGAATTGAACAATACTTGCATGACAAAGGCTTACCATTCAACTATATTAGGCTACCCTACTCTATACTATTAACATAAACACAAATCTTAAATCAAAAGAGAGAATTGATGTTATAAAAGTGAACATGAATCACTGTAGACATAATAAAAGGCTATAGTATATTTATTTTTGTGATTTATATTTTGAATTGGAGTAAAGTTGAGAAAAATAAAAGTAAAAAAAATATAAAATTCTACTAGGAAAATTTGAAGTGTCTAAGATGGATACGTGTCCAACACAACTACGACACAGACACGGCATGCTTCCTTGTCATACTTGTGAAACACACTGATTTTGATTTTCTGTCTTGGTTTTTCTCTGAACAAATTCAACAATTAATTTGACAACAGAATCTGGTCTTTCAACATGAGGAATGTGACCACAATCAGGTATTTGGCGTACAATGGCATCAGGTAATTCACAATGCAGCCGCTGAAAGAGTAAAAGTTCACAAGTCAACTGCAGTCATAGTATTAGCAGACAATATAGAAGTCAAATCAATTGGAATAAAATTAGAGTGGAGTGCTGTGTAACATCTTTTGTGTGTCATAGGGAAGTGGAGTGCTGTGCATTAACTAACCACTGCAAGCTTATTGCTGATTATGCGGTCATTTTCCCCCCAAATGATGAGAGTTTTCTGCTTTACCTGTAAAACAAATTCAATATCAAAACATCTTGGTCAGGTGTTTACCAAGCACGAGTTCAAAAATGCATCAATCATCATTAACAGAGAAAACACACAAAATAAACTGACAAGTCCTAACAACCTTCCAAGGGATCTAGTGTATGCATTTCATCCAACAGTCTCCAAATTGAATATGATTAACTGTTCATTATCTAATAGTTTTTTAGTAAAAACTACTGAAAAAAGTGTATAATCGTAAAATTATACAATAAGAATTTTCCTAGTAAGATAGAACTGTAAATGAAAATCTGAAATTATAGTCATGTACAAAGGGACGGAACAAGGTTAATGATACAGGGGCAGTCTCCCCCGAAAAAAACAAAAAGTCTCTTAATATTTATAGTTAAACCAAAAATTCAACCCTGCTAATATTTAGCTCGAAGTATCAAATTTGGAGTTTTGTAATTTGTGATATTTTTTGCCCGCTAACAATTTTTTCCAGTTGTGTGGCTACATGTACACCTTAAACATTCTTTTTTGAAACTTAGGAAGAACAAAAGTGTAAAGTTGGTATAATTGATTCAATCTGGGAGATAATAGAATTCAATGTGAAACTAAATATCAACGAAATCAAAGACAAAAAAAAAATGCCATTGATCATGTATAATTTCTACAGCAAAGATGACCAGTGAATGATGAATTCATGAGATAAAAAGAATTTTACAATCAGCAAATTTGTAGAAGTGGAGATAATAGTGGTTTGGAAGGGATAGGGAGCAGAGAATATCATAGGAACACAGTATCTTAAGGAATTAAAAAAATGTATATGCTTATTTCTAAGTACTCACTCCAAAGGTTATCTATAGTCCAGATGCCTTAAAAATAGACTATAATGAATACAACAATTGCCAACTTGTAAAGCTTCAAATACCTTTGTTATCTGAGAGGCAACATTATAACCACCACTAGTCATAAAATCAATTGTAGCATCCTCCCACCAAGGTAATAAACAATGCAAGCGACCCACCTATATAAGATTATATGAAGACCATGTTAACTAACTTCATTCAGCAACATCTAAAGATGACAGTGTATGAGTGCCATTTAGTGTGATGTACCATATATGGCTGATAAAATTATATCTAATAAACCCCATATAATACTCCTAAGTCCTAATAAATATATTATATCTGGACTATGAGCTGTCCTATAAACAATAATATGCTTCAGCTTGTGATGCTGAGGTGTTGAAGTGTGCATGTGCCAAGTGGTGCATTATGGACTTAAAATAAATACCAAATATGTACAGCCCCTTATCTAAATTGATAATGTTAGGATTTGGCAACTCACATTAGTCCAATCAAGGCTGGTACTGAAAGATATGCTAGTGAAGCTCAAATAGTTAGCATATAAGCGTAATGGTATGCTCTTCAATACATATACCTGATTCCAAAATAGAGCCAGTGGTGAGCACAACTTGCACCATTCAAAACAAACCAATACATATAAGCTAAAATATAACGTTCATCCATAAACCATGGTTGGAAAGGCAATTCAAATAAGCTGGAGACGCTACAGAGGCAAATGCAAGATAATCATTAGCTGCATTAGGCCATTCTCTATGAATACTTGGATACATCAAACGAACATATCAGAACAGGGACTTCTCTTTTAAGACCAAGGTCATTCTTAGATTGTGGATTTTACATATGCAACTTGGGCTGGTTCTGTTTTAGTTATATGATCAACCACGGGTTATTGTGTGCTAATTGAAGGCAACCTGATATTGTAGAAAAGCAAGAAGGAAGATGTCATTGCAAGTACAAGCATAGAAACAGAATATTGAGGCATGGCATTAACAACATGGAACATGTTTTGATAAAACATTTGCTTCATTGTACAGGGTGAAGCAGCTACCAACTGACCCTTGAAATATTAGAAAAGGTGAATATTATATTTTCTAATTAACAGTGTACAGGGGAATTACATATATATACTAATTCTAAGGAAATAATCTTGTTAATATAACTACAAAAATTAAAAGGGAAACAAAATTACATGGAAATATTTTGTGCATGTGATACACAAATAGCACTTGTCAAATGCCCATTTATCACATGTCAAATATGTTTCAACAGTGACAATCATTCTGCTTTATATATTTCATCAAATTCAGTTTTTCATTAGCAAATAAAACATATAAAAGCAGACCCCCACCACCTCATCTGAGAAAAAATCATATATGGACGCATTGTTACCAATTTGGCCAATTTTAAAGATTAATGTTGGAGATCCCAAATTGACTAGTGATTGGTCAAAATATAACATATAAGTGAAAAACAATCTTCATCTTATAAATTGGTTTTGTAAAATTGAGTTAGGCTCATAACTCACTTTCTAAGAATTAATTTCATGTGTTATTCACAAAAGCTCTATGAAGTCGTCAAAATCATATTTGTAATTGTAGCAAGCTTGGGTCATACAATATACCCCAACTTGAGAGGATGTAGAAATAGAATCAATGAACAGTGTACGCATTATGATATGAATCAGTTCCAATCTAGTAAAAGAGAGATCTGTATTGATTGTAGATATAAAAGTCTTACATTTACATAAGAGCAATGCTTGTTCCCTGCCAGACTATGAGCTAAGAAGCTGATAAAAAAAAATGTCCTAACCCTCCCCCACACTTCTGCGCATGCACAAACTTGTGTGTGCATAAATATCTTTTTATTTCATATTTATATCTTTTTCCCTCTGTAACTAACTTTCCTCCAATTACTCATGTCTCTTTTAATTACAATTAAGCTAAGTTTTTGTGCTAGGCCTATGGGTGTAAACTGCTAGGGCCCACCTTCTGTGTGTCTATAGTATTAGTATGTACCATCAATACCATCCACCAAAACAACTACTTAATCCTCAAGGCAGAAAGAAGATTGAAGATACTGTCAGCATCTTCCCAAGTTACCTCCTTTATTGGCTTAGATTTCCATTCAGTTACTTGTGTTTCCACGCTTCTGTCACATGTGAAGCTTCTTGATCAATAGGGACTGGATCATCAATGCCAAAGCCATTGGGTATAGTTGCCTCCTCAATGTCCCAATGCCTTCTTAAATTGAGAGAGATGGAAAATTAGGTGGATTTTAGCTGTATCAAGTGGCTGCAACATATTATCCCTTTTGAATCAAAATACTGTTACATATTTCCGGTTTGGGTATAAAAAAAAAAAAAAAAAAACTTTGGTCTGACTTGCTAGATCAAAAGAAGGGGGAACTTCAGTTCATCACCAGCATTAACGAGTCATCCTCCATGCCACTGAAGGTGTCAGACTGAGTTTTGGAAGCAAAGGTGGAAATGGTAGAAGCTAATATTGGATAATTGATGGATGCTATGCAAGACATCCACATGCCTTTCTTGCAATGGACAAAATTCTCAAAAAAGGAGAATACATTGCCCAGCAAGGGGGATTTAATATACATGTGTAGCATAGGAGGAAGTAGTGGAGGGAGAGTGTAACAAATTGTATTAGTGGCAGCAGGGAAATGGAAAGGAAAATTCTACAATGATGAGACAGAGTAAAGAATTCGGAGGGAGGAAAAGAGCAGAGACTAACAATTTTTTAGAGGGTTTCGTGGTTTAGGCTAGGGAGGGAAGAATCTTTCAATTCAACTATGATTGTTAATTTTCTTGTTTACTCATAGAAAGAGAGTTCCCCCTTGAGTTTTATTATAATTTCAGTACGTGTCAATTTGAAATAAAGGCAACAGCTCTTTGTCTTAGGTCAAAATAAGTAATGGCTTGTTCCAAGAGGCTATGAGCCATCCAAGCTCAATTCATTATATGATATTGACTTACAAGTTACAAAATGGCAGAACATGTGTAACTGATGTCTAAGAAAAAGAGAGAACACATTTCCAAACAAAATGCCCTAATGATCTAGCTACTTGAACGTAATATGGAGAACCAAAAATAAATTGAATTTCAGTTTAGGAGGGTAAAACAAATTATTTCAAATAAATTTCTATAGACAGAATATGAAATAATGTTCTAGGTGATTAAATATACACATGAACTTCGGCTAGAGAACATTGGTATGGATAAGACATGATATTCTAGACAATTGCTAGTGACATATGGCTATGGCCTAAGGCTTTATTAAGTTGGAGATATACTCACCCCAGCATATGCTGCTGCTCTAGGTAAGGTTGCTAGATTTCCTGTTCCTTCTGCATAAACACTAGCATCAATCAAAACAAGCTTTTCCACCTGAAAAATGAACTGTGTATCACTGACCAGATCACAACAGAATCACTTGATATAATTGTTTTTTAATAAAAAAAAATCCTCACAAAGTAGGTTAAATATTCAGCAGTTAAATTATTGGATAGCACGTACAGCTTCAGGATAATTGACCGCAAAGTCAATGGCAACTGCAGAGCCGAGGCTTGGACCAACCAATATCATTGGCCTTTTGATGTAGGACTTCCAAAACTGGTAGGTAAATCCAATTCATCCTCAACACATAGAGAAACAATTAGAAAAGCCTATATTATAATGATTTCTTACTCCAAATCATAAAGTTTGAAAAAAATAAAAACAATTTAACAATTATACTCTTTAGAATTATATATAACTTTATAATGGCCAAACTGGCGACAAAGCTATCAAAAATATCATTGCAAAACCCAGGATCCAAGAGATGCATAAATTAACACCTAAGTACCTGATAAAAGTGATCACGCTTTGATACCACATCACATGGAGGAAGTTTTTCTGATGAATACAAGAAGAAAAACTGAAGAATGCATGACTAAAGTGAAGAAGAAAAAGAATGAAAATAACATAGGAAAAGTAATAAAGCAAACCTAGATCAGAGAAACCCCAACCAAGAATGTCAATGGCCCATGTCTCAAAACCAGCTTCCTCAAGCAATGGATATGTGTATCTCCATTCTAAACATGAGCTGAACAATGAGAAGGAGTGAAATGAAATCCATAGGTAACTTGAACATAAAAATGTACAAACTAACTCTGTCCCTTGCATGTTTTGAGTACCTGTCAAAACCATGTAGAAGAACAACTGGATTTGCATTGTTCTGCATCAATGGCTTCACACAACTACTCATGATAGGATTTTCAGAGAACCTAACCTGATCAGGAAATATGGAATAAATCAATAATTTACGAACAATAAAAAATTATTACGGAGTGGGCTCACACATAGCACCATGAAGTGACCATGATCACCCCATTCAGGATCAACAATGTTAGCAAAGAACTCAAAAAACTTGCCAAACTATTTTGCTTCTCTTGGAAATTTGGAAGATAAGCTATATTTCAAAGGAAGAGAACATAAAGAAAGTTCCTATGTGTTAGGAAGCGAAAAGTCGTCTAATTCTGCAGGCTTAAGAAGTTAGAACTGGTTACAAGAAATAATCTAGAAAGTAGAAACATAAAACCCTCTTAGTTTGGTTAAGAACTTGGAATTGGGAGACTTATGTTTTAAGAACCCACAAAAACAGTTATTTAGAAAAATCACTGCTGCTATTCAATTTAAGAGTTGGGATTGAGAGGGAAACAGAAACAACAGTCTAAAGGACCACAATACAATGGGTAGCATGTAAGGAACTTGATAGGAAAATACTTGAGAAGAATGGATAACTCAACAATCAACATATTAGCATAATGCATCTGACTACAACATAAAAATGACACCAGCACATAAAGAAACACAGAAATTCCTGTGCATTTCCAGAGTGCTGCAAGTCCACTAAAACCCGATGGATTACTTAAGAAAGTAACTCAATTTTATAAAATCGACTTGGAAGGTGAATATTATTGCGTACTTATATATCATTGACTTATAAAATGAGGATTGTTGTCCCCTTATATATCATCTAAGAAAGTGAATTATGGATATAACTCGAACTCTATTTGGGTTTCTTAAGAAATTAAACTAAATTAAAAAAATGATATGAACTATTGGAAACAAGAACGACACATACACGCATAACATTATGCAAGTAAATAAGTAGGAAGCAAAAATTGATAAAATGTAGAAGTTACAGAAACGGGTAGTCTCTGAATCCGCATGGCAAGGTTTCGAGCAAAAGGGTCTTTGATTGTGTGGACTTGGTTGGGAAGAAATGAAGGGAAGTCATCAGCCTGGGACAGAGCCTTGAGTTTGAAGGTGGAGGGAAAACGCAAGCGCGTTTGGGAAGCTAAGTGAGGAGGTAATAGCAATAGCATCGCAAAACACTGAAATTGAAAGCACAGAGGGAGAGGCTTAGGTGAACGTGTTACGTGGCATGTATGTCAGTCTTGTGTTCTTCCAAGTAACCGCCACCCAATATTCATCATCAGTTGCAGCACCAACTTCACGCTAGTTTGCTCGCGTAACCTTAACACACTTTTTTTTTTTTTTTTCGGTCACTGGAGTATCCACAGCCCAATAACACACTTCCTTTTTAACATTAAAGATAATAGAAAATAATTAAAAAAAATAAAACAAATAACAAACAACTGTTTCTTTTAATTCTAAAATAATATAATTAATGTTTATTTTCAATTTTTATAGTTAAAAATTGACATTTTTAATCTCTATAACTTAAATTATTTTTTTTTTATTTTTTTTATTTTTTTTAGTTTATGTCCTTAATTTTTTTTTTAATATTTCTTAACATAGTAAAGGTTTAGAGTTTCTAATATTCCCCGTTCTCAGTGACAGTAATTTTTTTTTCCTTTTCTCAAACTAATTCCAACACTCTTGACACCAAACAATGTCTTGATCACAAGTCACAACACGTTTACTCTTGTGGAAAAGTTTGTGTAAAGTATATTTCACAGTCATGGAAAAAAAAAATAACGTGAAAAAATCAAGATAACAAAGTGTGTATTTGGTTTTACGTCCACAACACTTAACTCGCGTAAAAAAACGTGAAAACAAGAAGTTATTATTTCTTGTTTTTCCATCAAATTCATTAAAATGTTGATCAATGACACGAATCCAAACATAAACAAAATTAAATGTAAAAAATGTTTAGGAGAGGAAGAATTATTATAGTTTAAAAACATTAAATAAATAAATAAAATGATACACAATCATAGTTATTTAAATAATCCAATGGTTGAGTTTTAATTATTAGGACTCTCTTTAGATAGTAATATTTGAGTTGTATGGGTAAAAAATAGGGATGTAAGGAAGTTAAGTTGAGTTGAATTTAGATGAACATGTTTTTTCATTCAATTAAAATTTAACAAGTTTGATTGGATTAAGTTTGTGCATTTTTTTTTTAAATCTAACTCAACTCTACTCAATCACGAATGAATTAAATTACGTTAAATTAATCAGATCAACATGATTAAATTTATTTATTTATTTGTAAAAAAATTAAATATTTCATAATAGATATAAATCATTTGATATATTATTTCAAATGTAATGTTATCAACTTATAAAATAAATAATGATACGGACTAAATCGCAAAGTAAATTTGTTGATTTACTACATTATTATTAGCTCAAACAATCAACATTAATACAAAATAAAATTTAAAATAAATATATTGCATTGTTATAATATTATCAATCTAAAAACACAAAATTTGTTATTGAACAAAAGTGATAAAGAGTATTATCATGCGCAGATGGTTACACTTACTTATTACTATTATTATTATTATTATTATTATTATTATTATTATTATTATTATTATTATTATTATTATTATTATTATTATTATATATGACTAGATCAAGTTGGATCATGGCTCAAAAAATTAAAAATTTGTTACCTAGCTCATATAGTGTCGAATTTTGATCAAGTTGAACCACGTCTGACTTAAACACTAAAAATAATCTAATTCAAATTTATTGAGTTGGTTTGGGTTAGTTCAGACTCACGAGTTACTCATATTTGTTTACACTCATAGGTAAATAAATGTATGTAATAATGTATGCATGTTATGAGTTGTTTGATGCTTTGTGATGTTTTAATTTGTTGCATTGTGTTATACGTTATTTGTGAGCTTTAAAAGTTAAGGAATTCTTATAATTTAAGTTGTTTAGAGTTGTTTAAGGTCAAAGTTGACCAAGAGATTTAGGTCAATGAAAATTCTTGTTGTTGGAAAGTATTGTAATATTGTAAGTCGTAGAGTGTTGTAGTTGTTTTAATTATTATATGTTGTTGTATTGAGTTGTTGTTGAGTGTTGAGAAATTCTAGAATCTGAGGACTCTTTATGAGTTTAGATAGTTTTGGGAGTTTCTTTGAACAGAGGTCAACTTGGACATGTAGGAGAAAGGTATTTAAGGCCTTACTTTAGAAATAGACTTCATAAGTTCATTTCTTTAGAGGAGTTAGAGAAAGAGTAGTGATAGGAGCTCTGAGGATTTTGAAACCTTCATTTCTTCTTCTCATATTCTTAAACGAGAATTGAAACTTGGAGTGTTAAAAATCTATTCCAAGGCTTAGGGTGGAAATTTCGTGGAGCCTCTTCTTCCTCTTCCCTATAGATTCTTGAATTATAGAGGTAAAGGAAGTTGGAATTCTTGATTGTAATTTAGTTGTTGAGTTATTGAATGATTTATGAATTGAATGTTGTTAGAATCTTTAAGATTTGTATTTGTGTGGATTCATTTCAGAGTGGGTTGCATGTTGAAATTGGGATTCTGGTAATCCCTTGAATGGCTCGAGAAAAAATTGATGATCTTGATACATTTGATGGTTGCATGTTGCATTTTATGAAAATTTTGAGTGTTATGATGATAGTAGATGACTATTTTTGAGTTTCAAGTATGAATCTTATAGTTGGATGAGTGGATTTTTGGAGTGATTAGGTTGTTCTTTGACTATTATGTTCATTTTTGAATTCATGCATGTTTTCTAGGTTTACTTGCTTAGAGTGTAGATGTGTTCGCTTAGAGCAAGTAGGTTTGGTCAAGTCAGGTGTGTTCTCTAACTTGACTCACTCTGAGCGAATTAAGATTGCTCAAAGCAAGATACAATGGTTTAAGGTAAGAACTTACTCACTTAGAACGAGGTGATAAAGTGTTGCAAAGGTAGTCTTTGACTGCACTCACTTTGAGTGAATTCTTTAACGCTTTAAGAGAATCTCACTTAGAGTGATGGTTGACTCATTTGAAACGACCAGATCAAGGTTCGCAAGAGTGTTCTCTATCTAGGTTCACTCCAAGCAAATTCTAAATGCTTAGAGTGAGTTTCTATCCCTCAAAGCAAGCCCAGAGACACTTGAAGCGCTAAATCATTACTTATTTAAAGTTGATTTTCTTTATGTGTGATGAAAAATCAATGTAATTTATTATATGATTGACATAATAAAATATAACATTGAGAGTTTTCAAACCTTATCAAATACTCCATCAATGAAAAGATTATAAAGCAATATCAAAGGATTAATTTTGGTGAGAGCTATACTATTACTCCAACCATAGGAGGAGGTAGATCGCATATCTCACGAAAAATGATGGGTTAAGGATAAAAATTGTAAAGTAGCCAAGTTTAGGATAAAAGGTAAAATAACTACTAAGCTAAAATGCTTATGTGGCACAATCGTGTTATACAATATTGCTTACTTAACGACGATACAGTTCCCCACTTCAAAATTTATATATTTTAAAATAAATAAATAAACAAATGGGAGAGGAACCGCTCCCATATTAAAATAAATATAACTTCTTATATTGATGCATGTTTTATTTTGGAACTTAATTTTTTCTTCTTCTATTGTTGTCTTTTTTTTTCTTTATCCAAATTAATCTTCTTATAATCTTATTTAATGTTACTAAGTAATTAATTTAGTCTTATTTATTATATAAATTTTTATCATATTTTGAATAAAAAATAAATATTTATATATATAACAATATATAAATGAAATACTCATATTTTCAAAGATAATTATATTCTTATCTTGTATTTTTATTTTTTTCATTAATTTTTATTTAAAGATAAAATAGGAACAATATATATATAAGGAGAAATCTATTTACTTTAGGAGTAAGTCTACCTAGACTTATTCTGTTTAATAACTCATGTTCTACATCAAATTTCAACGATCCAACCGTTGAATTTATAGTTCTTAATGCATAGATCAAATATGCAAATTTGAAAACTATTTTATACTTCATTTCATTAATTCAAATTGATGGATAATCATAAAATTATTTTATACATTGATTTGAATTAATGAAACGAAGTATCAAATGATTTTTAAATTTTTTAAAATTTGCAAACTTGATCTATGTATTAAGAACTTTAATTTCAACGGTTGGATCGTTAAAATTTGATGTAAAACATCAGTTATTGAACAGAATAAGTCTAGGTAGACTTACTCCTGGAGTAAACGGATCCCTTCTCATAGAGAAGGGATCCATTTACTCTGGGAGTAACTCTTTAGAATTACTCCACATCCTTACCCTTTATTTTATTTAAATCTAATGGCTCATAATGAGTTACTAAAAAGGGTCACGTGAGAGCTTCTCATAAGTTACTAAAAAGACTTACGTGAGAGCTTTTCTTGTAAAGTTACTTGTTGGATCGTCTCGCTTCCTTTATACTTCTTTATTTCCCCTTCGATATTGATTCTAGTTCATATGGTATATGATTTGCAAAACGAAAAAGAAAAAGGGAAAACAATTGTTTGTATGATATTTATTCCCATTTTACTTGCTACATGAAATCTCACCTACTTCTTTCCACATATTCTCAATCACATTTTTCCTTTTTCTTATGTCATCCGCATTGGACAAACTCAGAAACTTTGTAAAATTACAATGAAGGAATATGACTGCATAATTTTTAAAGATAGTTCACAATAAGCTGCAATTTGCGCTACTGATGCCCTATTATCTGAGTATCAATTGTTTGCCAAAATGATTCACAATAAAGCCTTTTCTTGTAACACCAAAAGGAAGAAATGATTTTTGACTTTGTTTTTTATAATATTAGTATATTATAAATTATTACTTAGTTAATAATTAACGTTAGAAATTTCTTTATCATTTCATAATTTATTATTTAATATTAGTATTGTATATCATTAATAGTAATTATTTTAATGATTTATTATTTATTTGTGACACTAGCTAGTTGTTGGTAATATTTAACATTAGAAATTTCGTTAGCATTTTATAGTTTATTTATTAGTGTCTTAATTTATTTATTTGTTAGCCCTATCATGCATTAATTTGATAGGGGCAAGCTATGTGGTACTTGTTAGTGTGTTTTAAAAAAAAGAAATACTTACGTTATAGTTTAATTTTCATTTTGGTTGTGTGGAAAGGAGGTGGATGTTGCAATTTATAGGACTAAACATGTTCATTTTTGTAGTGTGAAAGGTGCAACATTTCAATTCACTATTCAAATTATCATTAATTAAGCAAGTCAA